TTTATTGAATATAGTCAGTGTTAGAGTATCAGCGCATATGGAAACAAGCTTTTGCATACAGGAAATATGTTCTAGATATTGATTAGAATATGAATATTTCCCACTGTGCATTATTCAAGCTTTAAACAATGCAGTGGATTGTTTAGTCCATAAAAGAACATTTCTGCACCAAAGATGATGCCCACAACAACAAAATGGTTTCACCTACTGTTGGGATTGATCTAATTCTTACAGTTTTCATTAGCACTAGACACAATAATGTGTCAGAATAATATAAATAACACATGAATAATTAAGAAAACAAGAAAATAAAAAAATAAAAAAATAAGTGAATTGCAGTTGGATTGGAGTTCAGAACTTGTTGCTAGTTAGGGGAACAATGCACTATACAAGAAACCTAAAACATATTTACTATGCTAATAAGCAAATAAAAGTAGTGACACAACCTCATTCCCAAACTGATGTTATTCACAGATCAATGATTTATGAAACAGTATAATTTTTTTACTTTTATCTGTAAATATATGCTGTTGTAGAGTTGGCAAACAGCACAGTATGGTATTATGTCAGTCTATTAATCCATTACCTGTCTGAATGAACAGCATGAGAGCTTTGTGACACATGAATGCCATTTGCCCTCAATGAGTCATGTGTGGGGGTGTACTTTAAAGTTTTATTTTTCCATCTTCAATTGATATATGAAAAACATCATTACTGCAGTGACGTTGTGTCAGTTCATCAGTTCAGTGTCTGAGTTTATGTCGTAGAGAAGTAGCCACAGGTTAGCCATCCCGAACATAGACAATAGATCTGATTCCTTTTTAAACAAATTTCAGAAAACACTCAATAAACTGAGCTGTAAGTTTGCTGCAGAAGGATGATGGTGGAAGCTCAGTGGTGTCACTGGCCACAATACCATGGCTGACCTGGATTTGTTAATTTTATGCCTTACATATGGTGGTAGAGAAAAGCTTCTGGCCTCCACCTTTAAACACAGATTTAAGGCATCAAAAATCTTTGAGTTAAAGGTACCCTGTGGAGTTTTTGACCACTAGTAGTGCTATGGAGCAATGTTTTGGAAGAGTGTGTAAAGTATATGTGGGTGGCACAGTTCACATCCTGCCATTATACAGACAGTTGGTAGTTATACATGATGTGTTTTGATGAGAAACACTGGGCACCTCTGAGTATGCTAGTTCCAGGAGTTAGTTTGTTGGGAGGTGTTGTAATTTATTTTTGGTGTAGTAATGTTTACATCAAAATGTTTTCATTATGAAACTTTTACGCACTTCATTTATAGTTAAAACTATACCCAAATTTAATTCCCAGGTAGTAAAACTACCTCAAATATAATGATTAATCCACATTACAAAGCGATGTTGTAGCCATGCTTTTCTGCCAGATGTCTCCTGTTGATAATGGACAAAATCACACAATTAATTTGTGAATATTTAAGTGATCGGTGTTTTTCAACCAGGTAAATGCACAACAGGCGAACATACTTTTAGTATGCAGTAAGAAGAGACACTCTCCAATAGATATTAAAAACATTCACATCAGGCAGTTTCAAACAGCTGCCTTTGTTGCTGGTCTATCATTTTCACTTACATGATGAAACCGTTATCATTCATTCAAAGTTTTTTTTCAGTGCACTTATATTTTGGTGACAATTGCCATTATTCGTTATTATAAAGAAGCCAGGTTTATGTATCACTTCCTGTTTGCCAAGAAGACACTGAGTGTTAGGAGGAATAATTCATTTTTTAAAAGTGACATCAGAGTATCAATCTCATGTCTGACGTATGGTGATGTAGTTAGGAAGTAGTTAGCTTAGCTTAGCATAAAGATTAGATTGTTTGAAAATAAGCTTGGCTCTGTCCAATATTAATGATTATTAATATGTATATAAAATTGCCCTATTGAAATTACTCAGTACTGAAGTTTGTCAGTTGAAACCCCACCAGCAGGAAACAAATACATTTCTTCTTGTCAGTAATTACAAGTTTGAGCAAATAAGTATGTTAAAATACCAGGGATATACTGATTTCTTAGGAAAATGAAAGGACAAGATATGTTGCTGCCCTTG